CAAACCTCACAAGACGGAATCAATAATAAAGACGATAGGATCAGACACCGCCAGAAACAATTTTCAATTTTTGTAGTAAAGCGGTCCTGAATATTTCTGGATTTCGTCTTCTCGAAATATTATTCAACATTCGGCGATGACGTGCACGACGACAAAATGCCTTTGGATATGCGTTTTCTACAACGACAAACACATTTCAAAGCGTACGGGGAACTACTAAAATATGTTTGAGTTTGTTACCCCGTAAGGCACGATGTGGCTTCGTGAGGTATTTACAGAAATTACAAAAAAATCCGATGGAATTTGATGCTCAGAATGTGAGGCATTCGCCCAAAACTCGTTCAAACACGTGAGAACGTTTTTTTCAACCAATACACGACAAATTTTGCAATCGGAGGTTGGGGGGTGAGATCGCAGTGGGACGGAGAACTCCAACCGAGAAATCCTTTCGTTTCGTGTCGTGCGTGCGAGCGAGGCGAAACTTCGTAGGCGCACGAGAGGAATGAACCCGCCGTTGCTAAGGCGAACTCGAAACAAATGATTCCCACTCCCGCCCGTCCAGTAATGACCCGCGGTGTCCCGCGGTGTCCCGTGGTGTCACGTTGAATGATATCGATAATGAGATCGATACTGAGATCAATGTAGTGCCCCGAAGTATCCCGTGGTGTCCCGTTGAATGAGATCGATAATGAGATCGACAGGTGTCCCGTGGTGTCCCGCTGAGTGAGATCGATAATGAGACCGATAGAAAGATTGATGAGATCGATGTGGTGCCCGGAGGTGTCCCATGGTGTCCCCCCCCCAAAATAATATAATGAGACCGATAATGAGATCGAGAGGTGTCCCGTGGTGTCCCGTTGAATGAGATCGATGGTGAGATCGATAATGAAATCGACAGATGTCCCGTGGTGTCCCATTGAATGAGATCGATAATGAGATCGATGTGATGTCCCGTGCTGTCCTATGGTGTCCCGTTCAATGAGATCGATAATGAGATCGATAATGAGACCGAGAAATATCCCGCAATGTCCCGTGGTGGCCCGTGGCGTCCCGTGGTGTCCCGTTGAGTGAGATCGATATTGAGATCGATAATGTGATCGATACTCAGATCGATGTGGTGCCCCAAGGTGTCCCGTGGTGTCCCAAAAAATGAGATCGATAATGAGATCGATAATGAGATCGACATGTGTCCCGTGGTGTCCCGTTGAATGAGATCGATAATGAGATCAACGTGGTGTCCCGAGGTGTCCCGTAATGTCCTACGGTGCCCCGTTGAATTAGATCGATAATGAGACCGACAAAAATATCGAGAGGTGTCCCGTGGTGTCCCGTTGAATGGGATCGATAATGAGATCGACAAATGTTCCGTGGTGTCCCGAGGTGTTCCGTGGTGTCCTGTTGAGTGAGATCGATAGTAGGGTCGATAGAGTCAGATGTTGGTTCCCCTCCTCTCCCCACCCCACAATCTCCTTATCACCCGAAGGGTGGTCGTATGGGAAATTATGCTGAATATAATCGCCGATAAAGAAACATTCAACGGCTAAGGTCGGAATTCTGTTCGATCCTCGCGAATCCCCCCTTCTCTCTGATCTCCGTCTTCGACTCTCGCCTGTTCTCATAATGATTTTCTGTATCATCACCTATTCTCGATCTTTTTCGTCTTCGGTCGTCCTCTTACATCTTCCTCCCCCGCAGACCGACGATCGAACATCGATGAGGGGCAAGAGGACCAAGAAAAGGAACAACAACCAAACAAGACCAACACAAGAAACAACAAATCGAAGACCCGGGGAGGAGAAAGTAAAAGAAGCGCATCAAAGATCCAAGAGCGATGGGAGGACGCGGATCAACACGGAAGATGGACAAGGAAAAGGGATCGAACATTGAATATCAAAACAATATAACAATTTTTAAAAACATCAATCATTCTTTTTGCGTCGGCTCACGTGAAAACAAACGCGTGCCCGCGTTTCAAACGTTCGTGCCCCTCCCCCACACTTTCGGACCCCATCAGACTCAATTGGGATATTCGGATTGAACAAACGAGCGCGTACGCACGCAAACAACAAACAAATATATACACGATCTTTTTTTCAATCAACACGGCGCTCAAAAAAAACAGTTGGCATTCATCCTAAGTGGGGTCAGTTTTTGCTGATACCCGCGCACGAGTAACAAACACACAGAAATTTGGTAAACGGCGCATCGGCATATGAAATCTCTGTGAATTTCGTAGTGCGCGTTGGCAAACACGTCGAATCTCAGGGGGTACACAGAAACATTGACGCGCCAAATGCGTACCAAAATCTTATGTGGCATAACAAATGCGTCCTGGCTTTGGGCGGGGGGGGGGGAATTGCTCATTATTAGATTGGGCCTCCATTTTTTGGGCTCACGCGAACTTAGCATGCATCCTAAGCAAATCCTCCAAAAAGCAGTGCGCAAATGTCATGGAATAGTCTAACTCATCAACAGTAACGCACTCAGAAGTGGCTGAGATGCGTTTTCGAAGATCACCGTATGAAATACTCCTGGAACAGAAAATGACAATGATCTTATCAAACGAGACTGCTACGAAATGTCCTGTAATGATGGTCATTCGTCTGTTCGTTTGTTTTTCTGTTTTTCTTTTTTTCTTGTTCTGCCTCCTCCGAAAAAAAAAAACAAACAAACGAATCACCACCATTGCAGACATGATCACGATCTATTCGGCTGCCACTTCTTTTTCTGCAAACCGACGCACGCAATCTAAATTCACACATCGATCCGTACTATGGTAAGCGTAACGTTTGCTTTTACTGCAACGCCTTTCCGGCACGGCCTGCGACACTTAAATATGAAAAACGCCTTATCGTCTTAAACATCCCTTTCCCCGATGCCACAAGTAAAATCTGCACAAGATAAATTGCACACGCATTGTGGCTATTCCAATCCTCGTTCCGTCACCTTCTTCTCCTCGTTCTTCCCCTTTGTCCCACTATCCTTTTTTACCTCGTCCACGTCCCCGTCCTTTTCTGGGCCCCGTCTGAAGCTGGCAGCAGAAGGGAATCTGTTCAACCAACACATGATGGACCGTTTCCCCAAGGACACATAGAGAATCGACGAGATGGACTTCCATGTGTTTGTTTACCGTATGCTTTCTTCCAATAGAGCCTTGCTGAGAAATTTCGGAATCACCAACATGACCGGAAACGCGGAATTGGTGTTGCACATGCTTGCGTCATTCTTTGAGCAATGCGCAGAAGTGCCACGACGAACTCCAGCGGCAAGCGACGAATTTCAATTCGGACAGTCCGCGAAACAAACCAACACACAAGGAACATGCTATCAATTCAGTGGTGCCCCGTTGCGCGCCGTCGAATGCGTCATTCGTGTTCCTAGGCCCCCTTCCCTCTCTTGATATTCATATATAATATATATATGTATATATATATGTATATAAACAATTATATATGTATATATATATATATATATATATATATTCATGCGTGCGTGCGTTGGCGATAGGGGACACGCAAGCGCTCGCTGCCGCGCGGAATATGATTTCAGAGTGATATGGGGCGGAATACGGCAATGAAGAAGCCGCCGAACAAAAAACAACAACAAAAAAACAAATACCTACGAAAAAAAACCGCCCCCCAATGAAATGGAGAGGAAGGTGGAATCTCTGACTCGGCAGGCGGAGTCTTTGATTCAGCGGGCGGGGTCTCTGAGTCGGCGGGCGGGGTTCGGCGGGCGGAGCCTCTGACTCGGCGAACGGAGTTTCTGGTTCAGGAGGGGGCGAGTCTGTGTGATTCAGCGGGCGGTGTCTGCGATTCCGCGCGCGGTCTGTGATTCAATGTTCGATCTCTGATTCGAGCCCCCGAAGCTGATTCCCGAAAGGCAATTCGAACGTGCACCACCGACTATTGATCTAGAGGTCGTGTAGCCTCCTCCTCCTCCTCTTCCTCCTCCTCCTGTTTTGTGAGGCCCAAAGGCAGTGGCTTCTGTGAGTCCAAACGCCCTGCGGACCTCCACGCCCAATTGGCTCAACCCGAAGAACCTTCTGAACTCAAGTACGTTTGCGGGCTGTCGGGACTTCATGATCTCCAAGAGCCGCGCTGCCCGAAATTCATTTCTACATTCTCGCTCCGGCTTTGGGCCCCCATGGCGGCAGAAAGCTCTTCAGACCTCTGGCCTAGAGGAACCCATGGGTCCTATCAGCCTTGTGTACCCCGTGGGCTTCATTGCCGAGGCGTACCGCGGTGCTGGCGACTACCAGTGGCGGCGCGCCCCAAGGGCGCCATGCGACCAATATTGTACAGGCGGAGGGAACCGACCTGGTGAAATTTTCTTCTGTATATTCACGTACAATTGTCGAAATCCATTCAATGAATCTCGGCATCGCCGCCAACATTGCTGGTAAAAACATCCGCAAACACCCGCGCCCGAACGCGATGCAATACCATCGCGTTGCGCGCCATAACTTCATTCAAACAAATCGGCACTTGGCTGCGACACTACGAACATGAAAATGTATACGGGTGCGACCTTCGCAACGACTTCGAACGTCAATATCTCATGTTGTGTTTGCGGCTGGTTACTTCCGACAACGCAGTGCAAGCCGTAGGGGGCGCGACCGGAAACATTCGGAATCGGAGAATAAGTCGCAAACGGCTGTATGGAACCAAAACCGGGAATATTAGCATGACGCGGAATCGCGGTTTTAACCTTGCATCCACCAGCGCCCGCTGGCCGGCGGTGATGAGGCTGGTGAGACATTATTCTGGCCCCCTCTCCCCTTTCCCTCTCCCTCGGGGTCCACGCCGCGTTTGAGGGGGGGGGGTGAAGCTCGTCAACGAGGAGGAGGAAGAGGAAAATAATGAGGAGGAGGAGGAGGACGGAGGCCGAGGGACGCAATGTCCCGTCACGGCCGCCGCCGCACCGCGCTCAGGGCACTACGCGGGGCAACCTTCTCTTAGCGTGGGCTGGAACCTGGGTTGAATCCCAGGCTCAGCCCACGCACACCTTGTAGTCGATGGCCTTCAGGTGCGCCGTCGGGCCGTGCTTGGCCCGGCAGTCGATGCAGATGTGCCGCTCGCAATCGGGCGCACTCCGCGATGCAATTGACGACGGTGTCGCCAGCCGCGAAGTACTCGCCCGCCGCCTCCGTCGTTGGACGCGCACGCCTTCTCCAAGTGGTCTGCCGTGTTCAGACGCTCGGTGGCGCCAAGGAGGGGGCCCTCCAGCTCGGCGACCCCGTCCTTGATATCCAGCGGCTCCAGCGCCGCCATCTCATCGGCCAGCGGCGCCTGCGGGACCGTCTCGGTCCCCAGGCTCTGGCCCTCGATGGTGTCGAAGTGACCTTCCGGATGTGCTCGGTGCCGTTGTGACGCACGGTCACGTTCACCACGTCGTTGCCGACGTCGTCGCTCAGCGTCGCCGTCTCCAACTGCACCTTCTGCACCTGGCGATTGGCGAGCCTCCAGCCCGCCGCCAAACCCTGGCGCCAACCATTCTGCGAGCGGTGCGCGCGGCGGCTCGCCGGCAAGCGGCACATCCTGCTGCGCCTGCTGCGCGGCCCGCACCGTGTGGGCCATGCCCAGCCGCGGTCCAGCGGCTGCCCACTCGATGTCGTGGACGGATGCGCTGGCAAACCCGTCAGGGAGCACCCGCTGGGAGTGCCAAGAAGCGTTGCGCCTCCTCCGCCACGCCCCGGGGACGCGCTCGCCTGAGGCAAGCCGCTGAAGGGCGGGCCTGGACGCCCGCTCGCGGTCCTGCCACCTGCCCAGGCCACCACCGCGAACGGCATCTCGAAGTCCCGCCTCGCACGCCTCCTGCCTCCTGCGGCAGGCGGCCCGGCGGGCGGCGGAGGCGCCGAGGGCGCTGGCTTCGGAGGCGCGCAACTGGCTGGGCAGCCATCGACCCTGGCCGCCCCCCATCGCCACGACGTCCGCCCGGGGCGCCATCGTCCGGAAATGGCAATAGCGGAAAGCGGGAAGACACGGCTTGAGCCAACATGGCTACGGAGGAGGAGGATGAGGAGGAGCCTTCGGGGGCCCTCGGAGAGGGAAGGGGGCCCCAAAACGGACCCCAAGAGGGCTCATGACGGGCGAAGGCTCTGAGGCGGCCCTGGAGCGTTCCAAGACGCCCAAGATGTCCCCCAGACGGCACAGCAGGTCTTCACCCACCCACAACACCCCAAGAGCGCTCCAAGAGGCCCCCCAGAAGACCCTAACCATTTATTGTTTTTCATTCAGTTTTGATGGATTCTAGCGTAGCTGTTTTTTTGGGGCTTCCGACGATGCAGGACTGCCCAAAAGGCTTCCCGATAGGGCCCCTGCACGGCTCAAGGTGGCCCCAATACGATCCAAGAGGCCCCCAAGAGGCCATCAAGACAGCCTCAAGAGGGGGACCACGAACTGGAGCCCTCAGCCCCAAGATGCCCTCCCAATACTGCTACGAGGCCCCCGAAAGGCGCCCCATAAGCCCCAGGACGGCACCCGAGAGACCCAAATGACGTTCCAAGAGGCCCCCGAGAGGCTCCCGAAAGGCATCCAAGACATGGGCCTGTAATTATACGTCAAGGTAGTGGGCTGGCTCCCTCCCGCCCCCCCCTCCCGCAGGAACCCGCCCCGACCAACATGGAATACAGGATGCCCCAGCAACGACCCCCCTTGATTCACTTGACCCAAAGAGGCTTCACGAGGGGGACCTCGACAAGACTCCCAGAATATCAAACATCTTCCCGTCGTCCTCGTCCTCCTTCTTCTCCTCCTTCTTACTCCCACCGTCGTCGCGGATCGTCGTTGTCCATTTCGTCCTCTGCCTACTTCTCCCTTGTTCTCTGGGGGTCGGTGGAATTTCGCAAGATGTTGGGAACCATGGAGATATCTAACCAGAGTCGTGTAAATATCAACTCAGAAAGACACCATGTTTCCATTACCTTTCTCGCCCCTCCTCCTTTCCTCTTGATCGCAAACCGTCTGGCTTAAACGGCTTGCAATCTGGAAAGATCCAAAGCAATTTCTGCAAACGGTCTGGCACAATCTTTGAGTCAGTTCGGCGCAAGAGGCGGCCCGGCGCAATCTTTGATTGGGGGGGATGAGGAAGAGGACGAGAGATGATCATGATTTGTTGTGCTATGGAACCTAAACCAAGAAACACATCGGACAAACCCGCCCCAGTCGGAATCGGATGACATGTCATCCAGGAGGTGGATGGAGGAGGGGTGAGGAAGAGGATGCTGATCAGGGAGGACGGGTGAGGAGGAGGAGGGGTGAGGGTGAGGAGAGGAGGAGAAGGAGGAGGAAGAGGAGGCGGAAGGATGGCGGAGGGAAACGGGAAGAATGGCGGACGTGCAACAACCTTTTGGGCGTCCGCGTGAAGCTCCGCCGCGAGCCCAGGCGGAAACAGCCGTGAAAATCGGCAGCGGTGCCCGGCGCCGAGGTCGGACACGCCGGGCGCGGGAGGCTCTTCTCGCGCCCAGGCGGCCCGTGCCCCCCCCCTCCGGGCCCGCCCACTCCCTCCCGAGGGGGCCTGCCGCCGCTGGGGCGTCCACTTCCCGTGCGTGGTGCGGCTTCGTGCGTGCTTTTTTGGAGGGGCCTTGGGACACACGCAGATAAATGCACACAAATAACCGGATTCCCCTATATTTTCCCATATCTTCTGGGTTTCTGTCTCCCCCCTCCACTTCCCCAATTTTCCCGTAGTTTCTGGGGAATCGACGATCAATTGTGTCTGTGTGTTTTTTCCCCTCTAATTTTTTTTTTTCGGGAGGAGCCAAGACACTCCGAAATGGTCCGGAGGATCTGGCGCTGGCGCCGCCGAGAACAATGCACACGGCCGAGCGATGCCGAGGGTGAAGGGGCCGGAGGCCGGTCGGACGAAAAGGGGGGTTTAGTCCCAGACCTTCCAGAGAGCTATTTTTAGCACTGGGGACCTAAAAACCTAAAAAGCTGAGCGAAACAGCCTAAAACCACGACGTAGAATAGCTCTGGGATAGGTTTTTACGTCGGGTGCTATTTCTCAGCCCTCCTGGAAGGTCAGGGGTCTTAGGGGGAGTTCGCGAACCAGCTCACGTGGCTGAGTTCCCCGGCGCCTCCCCAGCGCTGGATGCGCCAGCGCATCGACTGGAACGCGCCTGGCGGCGGGGCCGAAACCGGCTGCACGGAACAGAGTGCGTATCCCCCCCTTCCCCTATCCTACCCCCCCCCTGTTGTGAGGGGGCCCAAGGGACACTCAAATAAATACACACACAAGTCCCAAGATTCCCCAAATTTTCGCATACTTCTGGAGTCTTCGCCTTCCCCTCCAAAATTCATATATTTTCCCGTAGTTTCTGGGGAATCGACGCTTAGTGGTGTCTGTGTGCTCTTTCCCTCCTGATGTTGTCCGGCCCGAGACGGGCGGGCAGCCTGCTCCCCCACGCCTCTCCCTGTTACTGGCTCCAAGACGTGACGGCAGAGCGGGGCCGGGCGTTTCGCCCGAGACCTCCTCGCGTCACGTGGGGCCCCGTGGAGGGTTTCCAGTGAAGGGGCCCCAGGACACACAAATAAATACACACAGATAAAAAGATTCCCCATGTTTTCCAATATTTTCTGGGTTTTTGTCTTCCCCCCCACTTCCCATATTTTCCAATATTTTCCTGGGGATCGACGATTAATTGTGTCTGTGTGTTTTTTCCCCTCCTGATCCAAGCATGGATCAGCGATTCGGATCTGGCGCGCGGTCGCCGAATCCATCGGTCGGGGGAGGTGCCCTCCCCAAAATGCGGCCGGTGCCGCCTCGCTCGGCGGCGGAAATCGGCGACTTCCCATGGAAACGGGACCCGTCGCTAATCCACGCCCCCTTGATCCATGTTTGTGATCGCCTGAGTACACGAACACCACCCCCCAGTCCGCGAGACCAACCTCGTGATGCGAACGTTCGCAAAATGCACATTTTCGAAACCAGCGTGGATTCGTGGATTCGTGTACGTGTGTGTTCAAGTCGGGCGTGTCCCCCTACAGGGGGATTTTGGACGAAAAATAAATAATAATCAAACAAATGCTCAAAAGTACGCAGGAAATAATAGGAAAATCGTCCCCAGACTAAGCTTTTACAATTGTTTTATATTCCTCCTGTAGAGGGACACGCCCGACTTAAGTGTACGTCCTGCGTTCGCTCCTGGTCTCCCTCGCCCTCCACACCGTCTCCTTCCACCCTGCCCTCTCCTGCGCTCCCCCTTCCTCTCCCCGTTCCCCCTCCCGAAAGTTAGGAGGCAACTTCTGGGAGGCCTTTGTCAGTATGATTAAGGGCTGGATTGAGTATCGCTTAACCGATCCCAATCCCCAGCGGCGTGGCCTGGGCCCCACTGGCAGAGTTACCCCCTAGATGGGGATATAGGTCGTTCCCTTCGGGTCTCGAGGGGTGTATCCACAACTGGGGTGGTAATTTGGTGGGGTCTCGAAGGGGATGAGGATGGGGATGGGGATCGGTTCAACGATACCGAGGATTAGCCCCGATGGAGCCCGCGAGATAGCCAAACTCAGCGGGATCAAGCCGGGTTGCATGGGATTTTGCTGGATTGGGCCGGTTTTCGACCACGGACCACCGCCGATGATGCATTTAACATCCCATGAACTGCATCCGATTTTGCCAGAACAAAGAAAATCAGTAGATTTCTGAACCTTTCGCCCGTACCTCGATCGGCCTTACTCCCGCCCTTGTCTAGTTCGCATATGGTCCAGTCTAATTATTCTATGTTCCTCTCTCTCCCTCCCCTCTCCCTTTCTTTTTATATTTTTCCTCTCTCTCTCTCTCCCTCGTTTCTTAAACATATGTATACACCTTCTCTGTGCATTTATGTATTCATATACGCACTTTCTCATTCTCGCTCTCTCTCTCTCTCTCTACTCCGCCTCTGTCATTCCATCTCTATCACGTGCTCTGTCGTTGTTGTTTTTGTTGTTGCTGGTTCTGTTTTTTCTTCCTCCCACTCTCTCAGTGTCGGAGGTTGGGGCGCGAGATCGCAGTGAGACGGAGATCCCCCCCCCGGGCGGGACCTCGGTGTCGGTGTCGTGTTCGTGTCGCGTCGTGCGTGCCAGGCGAAGCTGCGTGGGCGGGCGGGAGGAACGACCCCGCCGCTGCCGGGGCGAGGCCGAGCCAGCAGCTGCCGTCCCCCGGGTCGGCCGGCGGTGGCCCTGCGGTGGCCCGGATGCTGTCCCGTGGCGCGGGAGTGCTCCGTGTCGTGCCAGCGATAGTGAGATCGATAATGAGATCCACTCAGCGAGATCGACCGTGAGATTGATAGTCAGATCGGCAGTAGGCTTGGTGCTGGGGTCGATTGAGTGAGATCGATCGTGAGATCGATAGTGAGATCGATAGCGATATCGACAGTGAGATCGACAGTGAGATCGATAGTGAGATCGATAGTGAGATAGTGAGTTCGATTGAGCGAGACCGGTAGTGAGATCGATCGTGAGGTCAATCGTGAGATCGATAGTGAGATCGGCAGTGAGATCGACTGCGTGAGATGGATGGTTCGATCGAGAATGAGATCGATGAATTCGATTGGTAATGAGGTCGATTGCGTGAGACAGATTGCGTGAGACGTATGGTTTGATCGATCATGAGATCGATAGTGAGTGCGATAACGAGATCGACAATGAGATCGATTGATGAGATCGATCGAGAAATCAATCGTGAGAACAACCGTGAGACCGGTCGTGTGATCGATGGTAAGGTCGATTGTCAGACCGATTGGGTAACTGGAACCCTGGGAACCCCACCGCCCATCGAAATCGGTCCGGAACCAACAACCAGGATCCGGGAACCTGGGAATGGGAAACCCGAGTACCGAAGTCGGCCAGCCACTTTCGCCAAATCTGCCAACCTCCGCCAGGGACCCCTTCAGTGCAAGCACCGATTGGGCAATCGACGAGGAGCCAAGGGGAATGGTCAGAACTAGAACTAGGTTGGGCGTGTCCCCCTAGAGGCGGATCTCGGACGAAAAAGAAGCAATAGTCAACAAATACTCCCAAATGGTCAAACATAGACAACAAATCGTCCCAAATATTATGCTTTGACGACTTTGGAGTACCCCCCCTGTGAAGGGACACGCCCGACCGAAAATCAGAGGGGCGAGAGCGGCGCAGAGCCTCCCGAAGCACCCGGCCAATAGGGAGCGCGAAAACCTGCCCCCCGCTGTGCGGCAGGCGCTGCCTGCCGCTCCAGGGAGAGTTCAAAAGGCGTGGCGCAATTGCCGCCCGGCCTGCTCCTGCTCCTCCGCCGCCTGCGCCTGCTCCTCCTCCACCTGCTCCTTCTCCTCCCCTGCGCTCCCCTCACTGACCCTCGCTCCCCTCGCTCACTGTCTGATTGGGGGAATTCAGAAGGCGTGGCGTAGGTATCGCTCGACCTGCTCCTCCTCCTCCTCCGCCTGCTCCTGCTCCTCCTCCACCTGCCCCTTCTCCTCCCTGCGCTCCCCTCCTCACTTACCCCCACTCCCTCTCCTAGGGAACCCAGAAAGGACGTTCGCGCCCAACCGCGTCCATGAACATGACCCTCCAATCCGCGAGACCAGCCTCGTGACGCGATCGCTCCTCCACCTGCTTCTCAGATTCCTCCGCCTGACTTCGAGACTCGCGCCAAGCGATGTGCGCCTCTGTCGTGCCCCCGCACCGCCTGGGGGATGGGCAACCCTCGGGCCAAGGTCGCGGAATGCGATGTCTTCGTGCCCCTGCGGAGAGACCTTGAGCTGAGCCGCGATTCCCTGTCATAGCACGTCGAAATCTGATGCCATTCGGCGTATGTCAACGACGCGCTGCGGCGTGACGTTCATGCTCTGACGAAGTCAAGACAAGGGCAACATCGGCCCAGGACACATCGGGGATCTCTGGAATGTGGCGGCCCTGGAAGATCTGCTGGGCGCCGCGGCCGTTGCGAAGCGCTCAAGAACGCTCTTAGAGCGTGCTGCGGCGACATATCCGGGTCCTGCGTCCGCCCGACTTGCCCCGTCTGCGCGTGCGAGGTTGGGTGCGGCGGGCGGCTGGGTACCCGAGGTCGCCCGACCATCGCGAGCTGGGATCCGCCATGGTGAGGGTGTTCCTCTGTGGCCAATCGGTATGCCGGAAGCGAAAGGCGGATTTGCACCGCAAAAGTAAAATCTGCCGAGCCAGCCACCGCGTGTGATAGGCCCTTCGGCGCGAGGGCATCCCGACCCGCCAGCCTCCTTTGAGTCGTCGTCGTTGTCATCGTCGTCGTGGTCGTCGTGGTCGTCGTCGTCGTCGTCGTCGTCGTCGTCGTCGTCGTCGTCGTTAAGGGAGATTGAACAAACAGGGGGGATCTTACAATATAGTAAATATGTTGAAGGGAAGGAAGCCCCTTCCCTCTGTCCCTTCCCCGCCGGGGTGGGGGGTCCCGGGAAGGGTCCCGGGGGGGTTCTCCCAGGGTCGTGACCCCGTCCAAAATCAGTGGAGGTGCACTGCATTCAAAACCTTCTCACACTCACGGGGGAAGTACCTGAGCCACAGTAACTCTCTACCGCAAGACAGAGGATGATTATGGCTGACTGGGATGATTCAATGTTCAAGGCAGTTTCACGAGAGGATATCGTGGAATACAAGTGCACGCTGCCATGTACACAGCCATGACAAAAGTTTCTTCAATTTGCTATGATGAAGATCTCTCCCATCCCTCTCAAGATTCCTAACGTGACATGGTGCTGGGATCATTCGGCGGAGTAGTTTCCGACCCCGGAGACGTTAATAACTCTGTTACCCCAAAACGGGATTGGAAATTACTCCGCGCCAAGCCATATAGATTATCGAGCGGGGTGCGATTGCGCGCGGAGTAGTTTTCGTAAAACTACTCCGAACTACTCTGCACGAGCGCATCATTCCAAAAGGCACATTGAAAGAAACTTTCGTCACGGCGATGTATTCCCGATGTGTTGTATGTATATTGATGTTACGGAGATTTCACCGTACATACGTATGTGTGCATCTCTATATCTACATACAGAAATAATGCATCGCTGTTCGCGAAGATCGGCCTACCTGGCAATTCATCCCACTAGCCCTCTGGGCGTAGGTGGTCTAGGGAGTCCAACCCCCTTTTTCCCTTTCGGGGATGGGTTTTTCCCCCTCCCCCCTACCCCCTCCCCTGGACCTGGACGGGGGGGGGCGCGGGTAGTTGGAGCGTCCAGGATGGCCCAATACGGCTCCAAGAGGGCCTCGGAAAGCCCAAGATGACCTCCAAGATAGCTCAAGATAGCGCATGATGCTTCAAAATGGCTCAAGAAGCCCCAAGAAAGCTCCAAGACGGCTCCCAGAAGCATCCGATGCCTCCAAGGAATTTCCCCAAGAGGCCACAATCCTTCAAAAAGACAAAGCACATCAATGATGTTTGCTCTCGCCTTTTCGCTTCCGGTAGCCATCCGAGGCCTCAGTATGGCCCCAAGACGGCCCAAGAGGGCTCCAGGAGAGGGCCAAGAGAGCCCCAAGACGGCCCCTAGAGCGCCCAAGAGCGCTCCAAGAGCGCCCCAAGAGCGCACCAGGAGGCGACTTGTGGGGCTCCCGAGGGGGGATGCTAATTGAAGCTCCCCTCTTTTTTGATCGATGTCCTCCACGATGGCTTCGAGAGCGCCTCTCAAGCTCCCAAGAACGCCCCAAGAGGGCCCCAAGAGGCGCCCAGACGCCCGCAAGAGGTTCAGGAAGCCTCCAAGAAGCTCCCAAGAGACCCCCAAGAAGCCTGAAGAGGATGCCCGAGGCACCCAAGACGCTGAAAGACGGTCCTGGGCTCGCCAAGATGCCCCTTCTCCTCCTCCTCCTCCTCCTCCTCCTCCTTGTCCACTGTCTCTTCTTCCTCCTCTTCGCCCTCTTCCTCCTCCTCCTCTTCTCCTCCACCATCCTCCCGCTCTTGGGGTATCGGACGGCTTCCCCCGCCCATTGTTCTTCTGCATGCTCCCCCACTTCCCGGATCACCTCAACTCCCCTGGGCATCGTTTCTGGATGGGCTGGTGGGGATACTTTTTCGGTCGCGGCCGCGACCGAAGAGGCAGGTGGCGGGCAGGGTGTCCGGGCCAACGGGCAAGCCTAATTAGCTACAAGAGGCGCACTAGCCGGCCGGCCCACTCACGGACTGGTGGGGATACGCGAAGCGTCGGCAATTACTGTCGAACGGATGTCACTGGCACAGCGCTGGCAAACGCATCATGCCGTGTCGATTCTTTGAGCTTGCTTCAGGGATGCTTGACGACCGATGGTCAGAGGGATGGGGCTGGTCACGCTGGGCATCCTCCGCTCGCGGACCACCCCCCCCCCTCTCCCCTTGCCCCCCTTTCCCCTGGGGTCTGAAATTCGACCAGGGAGGGGGGGGGGATGGGGACGAGCTCGCCGACGCACCCCTGGGGCCTCTGGAGCCTCCAGGCCTACGCTCTGTGGCCTCCAGGATGCCCAAGATCTGAGGGATGCAAAGACGCCCCTCCCCTGGGTTACAACTGCGTGGTCAATAAACCTCCTGGAAATTCCCAAAGACCAGAGAGCCGCCGGGACGCCGCGCGACACGCGCGATGTGCAGGACATTACCCCGTCAGCCCACGGGAGATTCGGCGCACAGCGCTTTGTAAACCAGGGCAGGGGCGTTTCTAACGCCCTTGAGAGATGCCACCTCAGCTTGCTGTCGCTCGGACGTCCATTTCCCGTGCATTTTTCGTTTACGTGCGTGTTTTTTTTGGCTCGATGGTCCAGGATGGTCCTCGATGGTTCTCGCCGAGAAAAAATGCACACGTCCGAGCGATCACCTTAGCTGGCTCAAGCTGGGCTCCAGCGCGCCGAGGAGCCCGCAAAGACGACCAAGATGGCCTCAAGACTGCCCAAGGGGCCCCGAAGACGCCCCCAAGAGGGCTCGAAGATGACCCCCGAGATGGCCCCAAGAAGCAACATCCTTGGAGCATATTTGCATTTGTGGCCTTGACAGCGTCCAAGAATGCGCAAGCGGCCCCAAAGATCGCTCCAAGACGGCCCAAGAAGCCCCCAATGGGGCCCAAGACGGCCGAAGAGGGTTCCAAGGCTGCCCAACAGGCGCCCAAGATGGCCCAAGAGCGCCCCAACAGGGCCCCAAGAGGGGCCCCCAAAGACGCATTTCGAGCCCTCCGCCCAACGAGGATCCCCGAGACTGCCAGCAGGTGCCCCCAAAAACCTCCCACGAGGCCCGAAGAGCCCCCCTGAGAAGCCCCAAAGGGGCCCCCAAAAGCTCCACAAGATGCCCCCGACGGCCTCACCCGTGGACCTCGTCCCTCTGCTGGGGCTCGGCGGCATAGCGGAAGCCTCTTGAATCAAAACATTTGGCAGACGGGCATCCAGCCCAGACGTATGCTCCACTGTGTGGACGCGCCGCCGCTGAGGCATCCGCTGAAGCCCTGCCGTCCTCTTCTTCTCTCTTCTTCTCATCCTCTTCTTGCTCCTCCTCTTCTGCTCAGTGTATTGTCAAAATTCCGCTCCATCTCCACATCCTCCCAATCCTTGGTCTCATTACTGTTACATACGCTGCTACTGGACCTCTTCCTCTGAAACCTTTCCCTCGGCTCCTCCTTGGCTTGTGCACTGTGCCCCGCTCGCCTGTCCGCCTGCGCGGCAGTGACTGGCGGGGTCAGTACAGACTCCTGCCCTCGGAGAAACTCACGACCATCTGGCTGTACAGTGCAGTCTTTTGACGGTCAACGGGGTCAGAACTTGTCGCCGAAGCTGCCCCCTTCCTCTCCGTACTCGTAGACCTCGTCCCTGCCCGGGATGAAGTTCAACGTGACCTCGACTTCCACCTCGCGTGACTCCGCTGCAGCCCGCCTATCTCCACCCCGTGCTTTCCCCTCCATTCTAGTGCGATGCCACAGCGTACCAATTAGGCCCCACACGTGCCAGCCGCGGTGCGAGTCACCGCGAGTTGGTCGCGGGAGGAGGAAGCGCAATACTCGGAAGCTGGGCGAGGGCTGCTAAAACCGTGGCTGCTAAAACGGCCCTCCCGGAAGGAAAAAACAACTTCCCGGAATGAGGCGCGGCACGCGAAACAATCAACGGGCTCTTCCCAGAAGGACGAAGACAACTTCCCGGAGGTCGATTTTAGCAGCCACGGATTTAGCATCCCTGGCCCGGCTTCCGAAATACACCGCCTGCTGGAATAACTCGGGGTCCCAAAACCGTGTGGTGACGGACCGTGCGGTGAGGTCTTGGGGGGAGGGGGGGTTTGGGGGGCGGCACCGATCGGCAAAAGCATGAATAAAAAACGCTCATCACACGGTGTGGTCACTACCCCCGAGCCACGCGGGCTGCATGCGCCAGCGTGCACACTGCCTGGGAGGCGTCCTGCCAGACCTCGGACAGAAGCACATCCTTAGAGGCCTCACAGATAGGGTCCGAGTAGATGGGTTCGAAGGATCGCGCCCCATCGTCGATGCATTGCCGACGTCGGCGATGCATCGGCGACGTCGGCGTGGAGAAAATCGGGCTCCACATCGAGCCGCATCGCCGATGCATTGGCGATGGCGCGATCCTCCGACCCCATCTACTCCGACCCCATCTGGGAGGCCTAGAATCCTCCAAGAACATGAGACCCCTCGCTGGCCAGACTGAAGAACATTCGAGGTCCCCCTCCCCCAGGATGCAAAAGCAGATCCAAGGGAGACGAGGAACATCAAGGCACCCTCCCCGAACCGACCTCGATCTTCTACCTCGGTCCGACCGTGGCCGCGAACGGCTGAGAGGCGCAGGACAAAGCCTCCCAGAATGGACTTCGGAGGCAAGGGAACCGAGAGCCTGGGCCAGGCGAGCACGCGCGCCTGAGCCAAGCAGGCTGCGCGCGCAAGTGCTGACTCTCGGGGAGGGGTAACCGCAGACGATATTTTTTGAAACTGAAAATGGAGGAACAATGCACTGCACAAACATACTCTCTCGGAGCTCCACGCGGATGATTTCTTGGATCCCGCACTGGCCACGAAAGAAAAACAAAACTTGAAAACAACTCTTGCACCCTGGGGCTTCTACCAAGGAGGAGGAGGAGGAGGAAAAGGAGGAGGAAGAGGAGGAGGAGGAGGCCAGGGTCCCCTCAGCGGCCCCAGGAGCCGGACAGCGGCTAATGACCTCCAAGACCCACTTCTCTGCTTCGTGTGGAGAAGCCGACAAGGGCACAGACAGAAACTCTCGGAGGTCCGCGCGGAGTTCTTGGATCTGCGCTGGTCCCCCCTTCCTAGCGCGCGGAGCGCACCGGGGGCGGCGCCGGAGGCGCCGCCAGAGGGGCCCCACGCCGATCCAATAACGCCGCGCAGACCTCCGGGATGGTAAGTTTATGCCTCTTTGGTATTCAAAGAAGACAAGCCCTGCTAGAGTGGACTTTGGACGCCCGGGAGCTGAGGCGGGATCGCAACACTCTGGGGCACGCTGGCGGGCCAGGGGTTCGCCCCCCTCGCTCCAAGCGTGCCATGCCACAGCTCGCCAGGGAGAACGAAGTGTAACGACGGATAACGAGCAATGCGATCCGGACTTTTTGCACCAATGCGACGGCCCCGACACTGCCGGCATTTGCTTGGGTTTTGACCAAGGTGCGATGGTAAGGGTCACCTGCTGCACGCGCCCTCCAGCCGCCAACGCGGCCACCCGCCAGGGAGAAGGTGGGACCACGCGCAACCTCGCTTGGGATCTGGTCTGGGCGCAAGCCTGTCCGTTGGGGAAACGCACGCTCTTCCCTCGTCGACCGTGCGCTCGGCGTCGCGCTGGTCTCGGCAAGGCTGTGTAGCAGAGGCCACGCGAGGGAGGCGACTGAGCAAGCCAGCTGCAGAGAGGATCAATGACCACGCCTCCAGGTCTACGAGCGGGCAAACCACCATTGAAAGTCCTGCGTGCTTGAAGGATATGTCTATGGGGAACAACTCTTTGCTTGGGGAGAACCCCAACTAGTGCCCTGTACGTGGAGGATGATAGAGAGGGTGCGACCTGTCCATCAGCCCCTCCGTTCTCCCAAATCAAGCTCAATATCGCCCCAGGTCGGACGACCTCATCAGAATGGGGGGGCCAAAAGGTCATTCACTGTCCCTGGGTGCGTGGCTGAAGTTGGGTTCCGAGGTGCGGACTGTGGTTGAGATGTTGAATTCTCACGTTCAGATAAGAATTGTTGTTGATCCTCCCTGCCCGGTGACCAGTGTTTTTCAACTTAAGTGTTCCTCCTGGGGCTCGCGCCTTGCTTTATACAAAGGAAAATGTGGGGCCACCAACTACGCCGTTGGGCCCCGAACTACTACAACAATACCAACCTCAATAACAACGGCTCCCGTCTGATACACCCTCGCAATTTATATAACAATCACGCTCTCGCGCGGGACTTCTTCACATTTTATGCAGGAACCGCACCCTCGCATTGGAATTCCCCGTAACTTATTCAAGCGCCGCGCCCTCGACGCTCACGAATCGCGCTCTCGCTCTGGTTTGTCTTGCGATTCATGTGGGAAGCCCGCTATCGCTCGAGACCTCGCCATTCATGCAATACTCACGCTTCAGCAACCCGCCTGCTCGACGTGGCCACTTGGGCCCACCGTCCCGACCCACCCGTTGGGGTCTACCCGCTCGATCAGCCCGTCTGGTTCTGCCACGTGTTTTCTGCTCCTGGCCCCCCTCCTGCTAGTCCCGAGCTCCATCCTTCTCCCTCCCCATTCCATCCGTCCCCTCTTCCACTGTCCTAGGGGCTGCGCCAATTACACGCGGCGGGTAAGGAAGATATACTCCAAGGGGGTACGATCGGAGACGAAAAAGGCGCAGATCGAGGGTCTGGGACATGCGTGTTGAATGGCACGCGAGCCGGTCAGAGCGAGCAATCTTGAAATGATTGTTGTTGCTGCTGTTGCCCGGTGACCACTGTGTTTTTCAATTGAACTGCTCCTCCCGGGGCTAGCACCTTTTTTTACAAAGGAAAGTGTGGGGTCACCAAGTGCCCCTGGCCCTTGACTTACAACAACAGTGGCTCCCGCCTGATACATCCTCAATTTATTGAGAAATCGCGCTGTCGCAAAGGACTTCCTCACAATTTATGCAGAAACCGCGCTCTCGCGTGGGACTTCCTTACCACTTCTTACGGAGCTGTGCCCCCAAGGCTTAGGAATCACGCTCTCGTTTGGAATTTCCTTACGATTTACTTGGGGATCGCGCTATCGCTCCGCCCACACGACCCGGCCGTCCGGGGCCTCCCGCCCGACATGCCCGTTAGGGTCCTCCCGCCAGTGCCCGTCTGGTTTTGCCGCTTGTACTCCTGCTCCGAACCCTCCTCCTGCAAATCTCTCTCGTGCTCCATCCTTCACCCTCCCTTGTTTCTTCCCTCCCCCCTTCCTTCCCTTATTTAGGGGGTTGCACCAACTACACGTGGCAGGTAAGGAAGGTATACCCCCAAGGGGGTCACGATCGAAGACGAAGAGAACAGGTGTCTAGGGTTCGAGATATTCATGTTGAGTGACACGCGGGCCAATACTCAGGAAAAATCTTGAACTCTTATTTCTGTTACTTCTGAAGATCACTATTGTTGATCTCCCCCTTCGGTGCAAATTGCGTTTTCCAATTCATCCTCCCGGGGCTCGCACTCAGACATTCTTATTAAAAACTATGGGGCCGTTTTCCCGTTTTCAAGATCGACGTTTTGTTATGTTTGTGGGGCTGCTTTTGTCCGTTTTGGGATTGCCGTCTCGCCTTTTACGGTTCGTTTTGCGATCAATGTTGAAATTGTTTCAAACTGCATGTTTTCCGTTTCTGGTCATTGCTTTCGGTGTTGGGTTGCTGTTTTTGTTTTTGTTTTAGGTTGCCGTGTTCAGCTCGTTTTGGGCCCAGCGGGTGCCGTCGTTCTGTTTTGGGTTACCGTTTCTGTTCTGTGATGGTCGACCGCAACACGAACATTGAAAACGGGGGGGGGAAAAACGCCCTGTTTGATCAGAGAAAATCTTGATCCACAGACTGCGCTCCTGGCCTCCGGTGTACACCACACTTCTCCCCAATCAAGGTTTGCACCGAGAAGCTTCCCGCGGATCTTGAAAGATCGGGCGAACGCTCCGAGCCGATTTCGGTGGGCGGCCAATCTCCTGGGTTCCCGGTCCCGGGTTCCCGGGTTCCCGGTTCCAGGCTCCGGGCCGATTTCGGTGGGCGGCGGGGTTCCAGGGTTCCTGGTCGATCTTCTTATCGATCGGTCTCACCATCGATCTCATTACCCACCTCTGTATCGATCTCACCATCGATCTCATAATTCTACCTCACTGTCGATCTCACTATAGATCGCGCGAGCGATCTCGCGATCGATCTCACTATCGATCTCAGTGAATCGACTTCACTCTCGGTCTCACCATCGACCTTACACTCGTCCTCACTATCGATTCCACGATCGATCTCACATTTCATCTCAATATCCATATTACTATTTCTCAAACCATCCACTGATTGGGATTTTTCTCTGGTGTAGCACAACAACAGCGGCTTCCGCCTGATACGCCTCACAGCTACTAAATCAATTCTTGCACTGAAGGGGTCCTAGCGGATCTTGAAACATTTGGCGAAAATTGACGGCCGATTTCGGTGGGCCGCCGGGTTCCCAAGTTCCCGGTTCCGGGTTCCCGGGTTCCCGGTTCCGGGTTCTTGGTTCCCGAGAGTCTAGTTCCGCGTTCCCGATCGCAGGGTTCCCGGGTTTCCCGGTTCTGGGTTCGATCGATCGATAGAGTGAGATCGATCACACTATCGATCTCACTACTGATCGCACTATGGAACTCATTGTCGATCTCACGATCGACCTCATACTCACACC